GGCAGCTCTGGCCCCTGAGGGCCGCGACGTGACCTCCGGTACAGCTGTAATACCGCCTATTGCCCGTGGGTACACCGGCCCACTCCGCCGGCGGCAGCTGGGCGGGCAGGTGTGGCTCCCGTTTGGAGCTGAGCCGGTAGCGTAGATCAGCGTCCTGAAGGGGAAAGGGAAAGGGAAAGGGAAAAGGAGAGGAGAGGGGAGGGGAAGGAAGGGAAAGGGAAAGGAAAGGAAAAAGGAAAGGAGGGAAGGGAAGGGAGCATACCAGCCTCTCAGTTGTGGTGTGTTTCTAAACATTTGAAACACATGTGAGCATGCACTGCAAAAATCTGTCCTGGCATATGCAGAGCTACAGACTCGAAAGCGTGCGCATGTGCATAGGGGGGCAACAATCTCTACATTTAAACGTTTTAATGCCCTGATCAAATGTAACTGATTTCTCTTGCTATTCCCTTTTAAGGACACCCACCTGGCAATTTGAAATAAGACATCTTTTATCTGAATCAAACTTCTCAATGTTAATGCTTGCAATCTATCCCCAGGAGTTCTGCTTCCCCCCGAACATTTGGGGGTTATAAATCCAGGGAAAATGTACATAGACCCAATCAGGTAATATTTTTGGCTGCAACAGGCATGATATTTCATATACCTTCAAGTGTATGTGACTTTCTTCAGAGCACCATCTCTTATGTGATCATTTCTAAACTGTTATTTTCGTTGCAAGGAGCAGTTTAGATAAACAGGGAGGTGCAGAAATGAAAAATCCGCAAAGCACATCTTAGGGATGGGGTCTCAGCAATTTATAGGAGCTTACAGAAATATTCTGCTCTTGTTAACAACTGTTTCACTTAAAGGCATCAGGCGAAGTAAAGCTCATTGGGAATTTTTCAAAGCAATGCTATTTCAGTGGAAATACTCCTCAACTCTGGGGTAAAAAGTATAGAAAAAATGAGAGACAGAAAATAGTTTCTGTACAGAAAACAGCCTATAGTCACCTAACCAGGGCTCTTGCCTATCCTATGAGGACCCGGGCTAAAGCTCTATTTTATCTGTTTGCAGCTCTTACATGAAAAACCAAGGTTGCAAGTTCTTATAGAAGACCCCAGTGCATTTTTCCATCTCAGTGAAGATCTCGATTTAGATATGAGTCACCAAAATCATTCTGTATTGAAACTCCCACCCTTTTCCATCCATCTTTCACTGCTTTGGTAACTACGAGGTCCTAATCCCTCTGGAGTCCCTTAGGGTAAACAACCACTCGTAGCAGAAAGCCAAGCAGGGACAAAAAACCAAGCCAGCCTCTGAAGATGTTAAAAGACATTTCCACTTTGCAATTCTTTATTACAAAAAAAAGCAAGCAATGTTCTAAAAGAGCCTTTCTACACCCCTGTCATTTGCGGCCCATAGGTTTCTCACATATTTATGTATTTTATTTATGCCCCCCCAGCAATAGCTGGACATTAAAGACTGGTATCGACCGTCCCCCCCGTGCCCAGTGGTGATGGAGCTGAGTGAATTTTGCTGCAGTCTTTCTTTTATTTCTGTTTCTAGACTCACACTCCTACCATTCCATTGTAAACAGATAATTATTATTTCATTAGTGTTCCAATTCAGAATTAATTGGCTAATTTACACATGGATCAATTGTATAAATGTGATGTTTGTGATATGATTTAAAGTAATTGTTTATTTTCAGGTTTTGGCTTGCATTGTACTGCAAAGTGATTTATCTCCTTATTTATCCTGTCTCAGCACTGCCTCTTCTTTTTCATTATTTTTCTAAAGAGCCACACTCTTGCTAAGCCAAAGCGTGAATCTGTGCTGTATGATTCTGTGGGGCCACACTTATATTAGCTCCAAAATGCCCTACCTTACAGCGTGCTGATTTTATATGCTCACAGAGCACCATGCTAACAGCCCGGTTTGCCTGACAGAAGTTACCCGCTGCAGCCTGCAATCATTGTATTTCACACAGATTCTTATACCACCTTTATAGCTGTTGTCCCTGAGTGTCTCCCACTGTAACCACAGGTGACAAACGTCTGTCACTTTGGATTCAGTTTCCTCTTTTCCATCCCCAGGGGGTTGAGGAAAGTGCAGTCCTTACTTTCCTTGCTCCTTTGTTTGTCCAACTGGGAGCATGCCCGGCAGCCCAGCCATGGGAGGACGGCAGCCAGGACTTGCAGGGCAGAAGCGGTGAGGTTTCCACCTGCTTCTATTCTGACAGAAGGTTTCTGACAGTGGCAGGACCTCCTCCTGCCCAGCCTGCCATGGCTTTGCAGAAGGTGGCACTGGCCAGCCAGAAGTCTCTCCCTAGACCAGCCCCGTGCTCTCCTGTAGATGTTTGCAGCGTTTGGCCTTACAGCAATTGTAGGGAAACAGTAATCCATCAAGACACTACTTGATTTCATGGTTAACTTTAAACAGTTTCTTCCACGGGGAAGTGCTGAAGTACCTCCTTGCATCAGGGTTTAGGTGTTCAGAGGGAGAAGAAAGAAGGGATGAGAACACAGTTAACAGCTTGCCCCACGCAGAAACACTACTTTCCCAGGCAATTGAAATGAATTCTTCCACCATCAGATTTTAGAGCTGCTGTTATGCTCTATGTCCAGTCAGCTAAAACCAATTTTGTGAATGCCAAAGATGATTAACTGCTGTAGAGTTTGAGCCACTGTCAATGGCTCTCCCCTTCCTCCTGCAAATCGTTACATACTATCAGGGCCTTTGCAAAATCTGAGTTGTTCAGAAACATTGAATTTCTCTGTCATTCTTTCAATTGCCTCTTCTGAAACGCATGATTGGAAACAAACAGAGGTTACCCAGAAAAGGGATGTTACTTTCTCATCAAAAGGAATGTCTGTTGCAGGATGTATTTGGTACAGAAGTTTTATTCAAGAGTAGAAAAACTACAAGTGAATTATGCTTCGTAACCTATCTCAGGTTTCACTTGGTTGAGTGTACCAGGGTGTATGTGATGTGTGTGGGTTGGGAGGTATTTTGGAACAGTTAAAAGTGTTCCCTTATTATGCCTTACAATGGCATTTTTGTACCTTTAAATGGAAGACTTTAAATGGACTCTTTCCTGACAAATATTAGAACCTTATAGCACTGCAAGAAAGCAGGTTGTTTAATTTATGAGACTTTTATTTCTGAGGCCCATCACAGTCCTGTGTCTGACTCACAAAG